AGGGAGGGTGGAAAGGTGGGAGTATAAGAATGGAGGGAAGGAAGGAAGATGAGAGGGAGCGTGAGAAGGGAAAGGAAGGAGAGATGATCAGATGGGAGAGGAAGAGGGAGGGATGGGAAGGCAAGGTGATAGACAGACAGATAGACAGAAAGGGAGAAAGAGAAAAAAAAAATCTATTAGTCACTTTCCAACTTCTGGGGAGCATTATGGTTATATTCAGAGGAAATGTATATCTCAAATATATACACATACGATTATATTTCTATGTACAAAATTATGATCTCTGGATAACTAATTCGAGGCTTATCAAAACACACAACATAACACAAACCAATAAAAGAGAATCACACCAAAAACAAAAACAAAAAACCTTAACTAAAAAGACCCGAGGAGCCAGCGACCCACCTTGCCGTCAGCCAGCGCTGCAATGACGTTCCCGAGCGCTGACAGAGACTTGTTAATGTTCTTGGCTTCGTCCAGAACAGATCCTTCGGCGCCTGTCTTGCTCACCTGCGGAAAGAGGGGGGAGGGAGAAAAGGGGGGGTTATTGTTAGTTGTTTTGTTTGTTTGTTTGTTAGAGATGGGGGGGAGGGAGAAAAGGGGGTGGGTTATCGTTAGTTGTTTTGGGCGTTTGTTAGATAGGGGGGGGGGTTGTTAGAGAGGGGGGAGGAAAGGAGGTTATTGTTAGTTGTTTTGTTGTTTGTTTGTTTGTTTGTTTGTGAGGGCAGAAAGGAGTTTCGTTTTTTTTTTTTTTTTTTTTTTTTTTTCTTTTTTATATTATCTTTCTTTTTTCTTTCTCTGCGTTGCTCTCTTGCTTCCCCTCTTTCCTCCTGTCTTCCTTCTTCCTCTTGATCCCTTCCTTCTTCCTTCTCCTTTATCATTCCCCTCCCTCCTCCCTCCTCTCCTCCTCCCCTTTTTACTCTCCCTCCTCCCTCCCTCTCCTCCTCCCCCTTTAACTCTCCCTCCTCCCTCCCTCTCCTCCTCCCCTTTTTACTCTCCCTCCTCCCTCCCTCTCCTCCTCCCCTTTTTACTCTCCCTCCTCCCTCCCTCTCCTCCTCCCCTTTTCCCCCCTCCTCCTTCCCTCTCCTCCTCCCCTTTTTACTCTCCCTAAAGGAGGGAGGGAGTGGATTAGAGCGAAGGAGAGAGAGGATGAGATGGAGATAGAGAAAGAGGGAGAGGCAGAGAGGGAGACGAGGAGGGAGAGATAGATGAGGAGGAAGGGAAGGAGGGAGGGATGGGAAGGCAAGGTGATAGACAGACAGATAGACAGAAAGGGAGAAAGAGAAAAAAAAAATCTATTAGTCACTTTCCAACTTCTGGGGAGCATTATGGTTATATTCAGAGATGTATATATCAAATACATACACAAACGGTTACATATTTTTCTACAAAAGTATGACCTTCTCTGAATAACTAATTCGAGGCTTATCAAAACACACAACATAACACAAACCAAGAAAAGAGAATCACACCAAAAACAGAAACAAAAAACCTTAACTAAAAAGACCCGAGGAGCCAGCGACCCACCTTGCCGTCAGCCAGCGCTGCAATGACGTTCCCGAGCGCTGACAGAGACTTGTTAATGTTCTTGGCTTCGTCCAGAACAGATCCTTCGGCGCCTGTCTTGCTCACCTGCGGAAAGAGGGGGGAGGGAGAAAAGGGGGGGTTATTGTTAGTTGTTTTGTTTGTTTGTTTGTTAGAGATGGGGGGGGGAGAAAAGGGGGGGTTATCGGTAGTTGTTTTGGGCGTTTGTTAGATAGGGGGGGGGGTTGTTAGAGAGGGGGGAGGAAAGGAGGTTATTGTTTGTTGTTTTGTTTGGGCGTTTGTTAGAGAGAGGGGGGAAGGAGGGTTATTGTTAGTTGTTTTGATTGTTTGTTTGTTAGAGATGGGGGAGGAGGAGGGTTATTGTTAGTTGTTTTGTTTGGGCGTTTAATAGAGAGGGGGGGAGGAGGGTTATTGTTAGTTGTTTTGTTTGTGTGTTTGTCAGAGAGGGGAGAGTAAAAGGGAGGGTATGGTTATCTTTTTTGTTTGTTTGTTTGTTTGTGAGGGGAGAAAGGAGTTTCGTTTTTTTTTTTTTTTGAGTTTTATCATTATTTTTTGTGGTCCAGATAGGTAGGTAATGCGACATTTTTTGTGTCTAAATATATAACTATTAACTATTATTTAACTATTAACTATTATTTATAACTCTCTTTCGACGTCTATTTGTATATATTATCATAGTCATTGGTATTCTCATTCATGTAATATTAAATTTTCATTATCACTAAATCCCCCCCCCTCTCTGTCCATTCTTCTCTCCTTCCCTCTTTCTCCGTCTCTCCTCCCTTCCCTCCATCTCTTCCTTCCTCTTTCCTCCATTCTTCCCTACTTCCTCCATCTTTCCCTTTCCCTTTCCCCTGCATCCTTCCCTCCCTCTTTGCTCCCTTTCTTTCCCCTTCTCCTCCTACTTCTTTTTTTTCTCCTTCCTTTCATTTCTTCGTCCCTCTTTCCCTTCTTCCTTCCCGCCGTAGATGCATGTATATAAGTGCAAGGGCACGCACATGTACACATACGGACACATATAGCGCGTATAATCAGACAAATACAGACCTACACACTCACACACACACATACATATCCACCCCCCCCCCCCCCACACACACACGTACCAAACACACATACACGCCTTCCTCCTAACAAACTCTCTCTCTCTCTCTCTCTCTCTCTCTCTCACACACACACACACACATACACACACACACACACACATACATACACACACACACACACACACACACCTAATCCTCTCCTCTCCCCTCCCCCCACCAGGTAGTCACACAGGTGCTAACACTGAAAGAATCCGTAATTATAGTAGTTATAAAAATAATAATAATAATAAAAAAAATAACATATCAATCCAAACTCGCTGATCCGTCGTCGTTTCATGAAAAAAAAACCTTTTAATCAGATCAAAGCTTTATGTAAAAAAATAAATAAATAAATAAATAAATAAAATAGAATGGGTGGGAATTTCCTGTTTGAAGAAAGTAAAATACATTATGTAGGGATATATTGCGTAGTGTCAATGGAATAATTAATAATGATTTTTCGTTGAGATTTACATAATCCATTAAATGTTTTTTTCGTGTTCTTTACTTCCTCATTTACCTGTCTGTTTATTTATCTTCTGTCTTATTCCTTTGTTTATCTCGTTACTTTATCCATTTGGCTATCTTGTTTCTTATTAACTTTTATATTTGATTTAAGGAATTAAAATGTATTTAAGGGATAAAAACCTTTGTGATAAAAAAAGGCTCTCAATATGTTATGTAAGTCTCAGATTTTGCTTCATTTTTATTGCATCTTATTCACTTTCTCTCTTTTCCTCTCTTTTCCTCTCCCTCCCTATCCTCTGCGCCTCCCTCTCACTCCCATTCCTTCCTATCCCCTCCCCCCTCCACCCATTCCCTTCTCCATTACAGTCCCTACCCCCGTCTTATCCCCTCCACCCCCCCCTCACCCCTCCACCTTCCATCCCCCCCACCCAGTCCTCCCTCACCCCCCCCATCCCCCCAGTCCTCCCTTATCCCCCCCCCCTTCCCATTCCCATTCCTCCCATCCTTACCTTCTCCGAGCCAGCCAGATCGACCAGGTACAGCTTCTGGCGTCCGGTATTTCCCCAACCCTTCCCCTCATCCCCCATCCCTCATCCCTATCCTCCCCCGTCCTTCATCCTTCAATCTCCCCTCATCCATCCTCCCCCCTCCCCCCCTCTCTCATCCATCCTCCCCCCTCCCTCATCCCCACTCTCCCCTACCTATCCTCCCTCCATGCCCCCCCATCCCCCATCCATCCTCCCCCCTCCCCTACCCCCCATACCCCCCTCCCCCATCCTCCATCCAACCTCCCCCCCCTCCCCATCTCCCCATCCTTACCTTCTCCGAGCCAGCCAGATCGACCAGATACAGCTTCCCGAGGAGTTTCTTCTGGTTCTCTATGTTCTCCTGCTTCACTTGGATCAGGAACACGCTGTGGGAGCGGGAGCTGTGCTCGTTCATGTCTGTGGGAGGGAGAGAAGAGAGGGGGGATGAGTGTGGGGGATGGGGGGGTTGTTTGAAGTGGGGTGGGAGTGGGGGGAGGTTGTTTGAAGGGGGGGAGTGGGGGGTAGGGGGGGGAGAGAGGTTGAGAAGAAGAGAGAGGAAAGGGGAACTGAGAGAATAAAGGGGGGGGGGTGAGTGTGTGGGGTGGGGGGGTTGTTTGAAGTGGGGAGTATGGCGGGGGGGGAGGGGAAGAGAGGTTGAGAAGAAGAGAGAGGAAAGGGGGATGGGGGGGAGTGGTGGGGGGAGAAGAGAGGTTGAGAAGGAGAAAAGGGAGATGGATTAGGTGGGGGGTAGAATGGGAAGAAGTAGAGAGAGAAGAAAGGGGAACTGAGAGGGGGGATGGGGTGAGTGAGTGGGGGGGGTTGAAATGGGGAGTGGGGGAAGAGAAGAGAGGAAGGAGAAAGAGGGAGATGGATTAGGTGGGGATAGAAACAGGGAGGTGTAGAGAGAGAGAAAAAAAAGAGGAACAAAGGAGGGGGGGAGACGAAAGATAGAGAGGAAGGAGAAAGAGGGAGATGGAGTAGAAGGGATAAAAAGAGGAAGAAGATGAGAGATAGGAAAGGGAAACAGAGGAGGGATGCGAAGGGGTGGAGAGCGTGGAGGATAAAAAAGAAAAATGAAAAGGAGAGAAGAGAAAATACGAAGAGAAAGAATAAAAAATAAAAATAAAAAGAGATAGGGGAACAACAGTGAACGAACAAAATTAATAGGAAAACGGAAGAGGGATGCGAAGGAGTGGATAGAAAGAGAGGAAAAAGAATATGGAGAATAAAAGCGGAAAATGTACGTAGAGAAGGAATAAAAGATTAAAATAAAAGAGAAGAAAAGAGAGAAAATCATTAGGAGAACAGAGAAGAAAGGAGGGAAGTCAGAGATAGACCAAAGAGAATAAGAGTGACATTTTAAGCTGCGAAGAAA